TTTTCGAATATGATCATGTTAAATATCTGTCATCACGTATAAGAAAGAAACGTGCGTTTATAATGTTTTATAAGCTTTGTCGAGTTAAAATATTAGATATCAAAGGAACATCTTGTATTGAATAATACACAGTATTGAATAATACACGTGTCTATTTAAATTTGAATATGATCTACTACGCTTCAAAAATATTTTTGCCCCCCCCCCCCCCGTTTTTGAAATTCCAGGATTTGCCTTAAATTTGGAATCTTCACTTTAAATAACCTATACAACCCAAATTTGTAATTACGTACATTTAATGGACATCAAATGGATAGGTCTTCAAGGCAATTCGGATTTTTTTTTCTTCTGAATTTATTTTAAAATATAAAGTTGCAGGAATATTCAAAGAACTGCGAAGAAAAATGTTGTTCTGCCGCCTACCTCCAAGTCAATCTTCAGAAGTAAACATATGTGAATGATTTTTCATACTTACGTAAATATTTGTATGAATTTTTACAAATCACAATTTATTTCGGCACTTACATGTAATAGAGAAAGAAGTTAATAATTTTAGTAAAACTTTTTTTCACATTAGAAATCCATTGAAATTAAAAGGAAAATATTTTGAAAGGACATTCCCCCTTTCCCGTAAAACAAAAATACCATATTCTTTGTTGTTTCACGGGGGAACATATGTTTATAGCAAATTTGTTCATGTTATCACCAATTTCAAAAAAGTTTACAGCTAAAAATGGTGTTTTATCAACCTCATATGTTTGATTTTACGTGAGTTAAACATAACACACGGAAAGAATAAAAGGACATTTATCCATATCCATGAGTATTAAAAAGTCCGGTGATGCTTTAGAGCCTCAATGGATATCATTGTTTACCCCCCCCCCCCCCAAAAAAAAAGAAACCTCTAAAAAGTCCTGTCATTAATCGTGATAAACTATTTGGCACTGGTATTAAATCTATTGATCAATTACTATTAAATTAATTTTTGCATTGAAAAATTTTTAAGGACATAATTGTCATTAATATTCATTTAAATGGGTGTAAAGTGTAGGCGAAAATCGAGGGTTAGCGTGCGTAGTTCTTTCGGTTGAGACGGGGTCACAGGAGTTCATTCATTGACCACGCAGATAGTGCTACTCAAAAATGAAGTTTCTGTTTTCTATCATTGTCTTTGTTTGTCCAGTGTTTCTTTAAATACATAGACGAAAGAAAACACGTCTGTAACAATTTAAAGGTTGCATATTTATCGCAAATTCAAAATTCATGAAGCGTAATTAAAAGGAAGTAAGGAGGCTTCTGTTTATAATGCCAACGTTTATATTGATTTCAGTCTTTCCGAACCCGATGTTTATTCAAAAACTAAAACTAAGAACGTATTATAAGGGATTTTTCCAATTTTGACCGGGCTAGCTAAATGGGTTACCGCTCTTGTAAACTCAATTCCTTTTGACAGTCAAGGGATGCCTCCCAGACCCCTCCCCTGTAAAAAGATGAAGGTCAAAATATGGGATCAAAGGTGTTAGCCAGCCCCGAGAACTATGTACTCTTATAACTGTATTATAAGGGATTTTTCCAATTTTGACCGGGCTAGCTAAATGGGTAATCGCTCTTGTAAACTCAATTCCTTTTGACAGTCAAGGGATCCCTCCCAGACCCCTCCCCTGTATAAAGATGAAGGTCAAAATATGGGATCAAAGGTGTTAGCCAGCCCCGAGAACTATGTACTCTTATAACTGTATTATAAGGGATTTTTCCAATTTTGACCGGGCTACCTAAATAGGTTACCGCTCTTGTAAACTCAATTCCTTTTGCCCGTTAAGGGGTCTTCCCCAGAACCATTCCCTGTAAAAAGATGAATGTCTAAATATGGGATCAAAGGTGTTAGCCAGCCCCGAGAACTATGTACTCTTATAACTGTATTATAAGGGATTTTTCCAATTTTGACCGGGCTAGCTAAATGAGTAATCGCTCTTGTAAACTCAATTCCTTTTGACAGTCAAGTGATCCCTCCCAGACCCATCCCCTGTAAAAAGATGAAGGTCAAAATATGGGATCCAGGGTGTTAGCCAGCCCCGAGAACTATGTACTCTTATAACTGTATTATAAGAGATTTTTCCAATTTTGACCGGGCTAGCTAAATAGGTTACCACTCTTGTAAACTCAATTCCTTTTGACAGTCAAGGGAACTCTCCCATACCCTTCCCCTGTAAAAAGATGAAGGTCAAAAAATGGGATCAAAGGTGTTAGCCAGCCCCGAGAACTATGTACTCTTATAACTGTATTATAAGGGATTTTTCCAATTTTGACCGGGCTAGCTAAATGGATTAACGCTCTTGTAAATTCAATTCCTTTTGACAGTCAAGGGATCCCTCCCAGACCCCTCCCCTGTATAAAGATGAAGGTCAAAATATGGGATCAAAGGTGTTAGCCAGCCCCGAGAACTATGTACTCTTATAACTGTATTATAAGGGATTTTTCCAATTTTGACCGGGCTAGCTAAATGGGTTACCGCTCTTGTAAACTCAATTCCTTTTGCCCGTTAAGGGATCCCTCCCAGAACCCTCCCCTGTAAAAAGATGAAGGTCAAAATATGGGATCCAGGGTGTTAGCCAGCACCGAGATCTTCGTACTCTTATAACTGTATTATAAGGGATTTTTCCAATTTTGACCGGGCTAGCTAAATGGGTTACCGCTCTTGTAAACTCAATTCCTTTTGACAGTCAAGAGGTCCCTCCCAGACCCCTCCCCTGTAAAATGATGAAGATCAAAATATGGGATCCAGGGTATTAACCAGCTCCTGGTTCAAGGTTTACCTTTTCTATCCATTGTCATCATTTTGGTCAGGCTAGCTACATTGGTTTAGGGTCCTCATTCTTCCTTTTTAAGTGATGTCTTTGATTTGCTTCTTAAACAAGTATTATAATGAGTTATTCAACTTTTTTGAAAAAAAAATTATTAGGACACTTACGGTAATTTGAATAGGGAACCGGTAGCAGCATCCGGTTCGCCATTCGAATAGTCAATAGGGAATAGGGAATAACCTTCTAACTTCTGATTACCTGCGACGTGGCACGTCAACGTCAATAATATGATTTAGCTATACGTACGTACGTATGCAAACTTTCCTTAAAAGTGAGTATGATAAATTCATTGTAAGGTTTGTATTGAATAATTTTTACATACATTACTATCACAGTGCATTGAAGCGGCTTTATATATTTTGTATACCTGAAGAATGGTTGGTGTACCCACCCCCTATGGCTTCTCCTTCTGTGATTTTTTAAGACACGATAACTAATATACATGATCTCCTAGTCTATCATACAAATACTTCGAAATTTGATATCATTTTCCGTTTTTGTTAAATTTCATAGATTTCCCCTTTATGGTTTATAAGTATATTTCTATACCGTAAAGGGGCAATCTCTACAATACAAGTTTTTTTTTTTACATTGCTTTAAGTGGGACAGCCATAAAATTATTGGCAGAAAAAAAAAGAGCAACCACAAACCAAAAATTAAATCAAAAATTGAAAAAAAAAAAAAAACGAACATTAGGAAGGAAGGGCATTCCCAACAGGAAACCTTTTGATAACAATAAAATGTAAGGCCTCACTCATAATATCTATTACATTGTCAACAGCAAAATACTTGTCAGTCACCCGCTTTGCCCTTTGTTTTAGTGTTTGCTCTTTACAAGTGCCAGTATAAGAGGGAAATAGTTAACTTTTAGGAACAATCTCTTACTGGTTTATAATTATGATCAGAAATTTGTAGGTGGGAAGGGCGTATTGTTTTTTTATTTTTCTCATCCTGAAATGCAAAGACTAAATTGTGTTTAAGAAAACTTCGCCGAACTATGGCACGTAAACATTGTGCTCTTTATGTTGGTTGATCATATGATGTAAATAAACATGTATTATTATAATAGAATATTTCTTGTTTAATTATTCGAAAAATAGGACTACTAGTACTACCGTGAATCATATTATAATTTCATTTCTTTATAGAAAATGTTTTATTTGATATATATATATATATATATATATATATATATATATATATATATATATATATATATATATATATATATATATATATATATATATATATATATATATATATATATATATATATATATATATATATATATATATATATTATACGGATGTGTAAGAATGAAATAGAATAAAAAATAATATTATTATGAAAAAATCAACATCAAGCATGTTTATTTGGTGCATGGGAAGGGTCTCGTTCAAAGGAATCATGCGTGCAAAATGAACAGGCTGCTTTGTATCAGTTTTCATTGCTCAATGCACAAGTTCTTTGTTGGAATCATCATTCATTAGGAAGTAGATATGGTTCTCTTGTTTTATCACTAAAAATATCGATCACTACAAAAAAGAAATAAAGAATTTAATCGATTACTTTACTCGTTTATACCGGACGTGTAGATAGCGTATTGCACGTTCTAAACTTGTAGCTACACGCCGGGTTTTGATGTCAAAGAACACAACGATTGATGAAGTCACCCGTACAAGTTCGTTGCATAACATGTTACTAAACCTCTCTATTTAGAGATACAATGTACCTTGTAATTACTTTTTTAATGAAAATTAAAAAATGTGATATGATTGTTTTGTAGTATACATTCGAACTTTTTTTCTATATTCTTTTTAAAAAGATATTTCTTTATACATGATATTTTTTTATCAAAAGATGTCGAAGAAAATGTTGAATTTACCAGATTTGAAAAGTATTATGTGGTTTCACCACTGTTTCACTCAGAGTTAGACAAGTAACGTGTGTAATGTTGACCCTGATCACCAGAAAGATTTCCTGTGTAATGCACTGTATATATGATTTTTGGCATTTTGAGTAGAAGGGCCCTCCAGGTAAATAATATCTGTACTAATTAGACCACTCCCTCTCCTAAGACAACCGTGCGGTAAAGAAAATTGGGTCTTTAACATATATGCGATGATAAAACCTAAGTCTTATTATTTTTGGATGGTTTAAATAACGAAGTATTTTTCACTGGGGTGAAATACCTAGCCAGTGGCGTCATATCTATTTTTCGAATATATGCCGAGTGAAAATGAAGCGCAACAATAATTCATGTTAACAAAAATATGAATTGGGAGTTAAAAAGCCTAAACCGAGGGAACTTGAAGTTTAAGAATCAGGTATGTTGATTTATTTCCATCATTTTTTTTAAAAAATGAAGATAGACAGTGTTTTAAAATCCCGATCAGGCCATTTCTCTGTCGTTCTTTACTATTTAATAAGGATGTTCAACACTACGCCGCATACGTTGAAACACAACTTTTGTCCATATTGAAAGTTTCTGTTCTATAGTACTTGAGAAGAGCTGCATGCTAGAATCGTGTGGTTAACATGAGTTGATATTAAGAACTCTTTGATTTTTTGTTTTAAATATGCAATTCCTTTTTTTATTTCAAATTTTTATAATAGAACCAAATAGATTGGTTCAACTCATATCATTTATACCGGAAGTTGTCAAAAGTTAGTATTACTTACGATGTATCCATCGTAATTTTCAGGGTTATTCCCACACACTCAATGAAGATTTGTCATTTTGAGTACTCCAGATAACACCTTGAAGATCTTATTTCATCAGCAATTCTTATATCAACAGAAATCGGACGGAAGATCAACTTATTGATCAACTCATTGTTTGCAATGAGATCTCATCTAGATTTTTTTTTTCTTTTCCCTTATTGTTTCCTTATTGTTTCCAGCAATATTTGCCAATTCAATTATTTATTCAACGGGTTCATGAAGTTATTTTATTTAATAAAATACAGGCAATTTTAGAAAGAATAACAATAACTTTGCATCCAATTTGTTGATATTTCTCTATTATTAGTTTTTACAGCATTTTCCAAGAACATGATTTAACTTTAGACACTTTTGCTAGTTTTTCAATGTTTGTGTCATCACTGTATTCTTAAAATTACTTTCAAAACATTACAATAGAAAAACAGTAAATACTGACATTCATCTATGTTTTTATTAATATTTATTTATTTATTCTCTTATTCTTTTTTTTAAATATTTTTTTTTGCCTTAAATTTCACGATTCTATCGAATTTTTGTATACAAATATGCCAGTCTGAATAAATAGAGAAACCGCCTTAATATACGTACGATTTTTTTTTCTTTTTCTTATAGAGCAAATAAAAGCCATTTTAAGAATTACTTCAGCTTTCAAAAGCATAATTTCTGATGTGTTTTTTTTTTCATTTAAATTTTATCTTTCTATCCTAACAGTCTAATTGACATGTACGAGTTTAAGATAAATAAATTACATATATTTCAGCACTCTTTTCATTAGTTTCTTGGTCATATATATATATATATATATATATATATATATATATATATATATATATATATAAATATATATAATATATATATATATATATATATATATATATATATATATATATATATATATATATATATATATATATATATATATATATATATATATATATATATATATATATATATATATATTGTAAATTTCAACTGATATGTCGATCTTAAGCATAAATCCCAACATCTTGGGCATTTACGACAGGAGGAAAAACAACCTTAAATGTGTTATGCAGACGTTCATGAAGCACACAGTTTTCATAAACATTCATGTATTAAGACATCTTATTCGTAAAGTCTAGAGCTTGCATGTCATTTCATTGAGTGTAATTAAGTATTGAATTCTTATTTTTAGATATCGTCGGTCCTATAGCACACCTTGCCGTGCCGACAAATTGAATACCGCACATTTGCGCGATATGATGATTTGTCGGCACGGTCAGGTGTGTTATAGAACAGACGACATCCAAACATAAGAATTCAATGCTTATATTTACTTTTTTCTAATTTCTTCTCTTCATTATTTTTTTTTTGTTTCGTTAGTCTTTATTATGAATTTAGCGCCTTTCAGAACAGTTGTTGTAGTTAACGTTAATTTAACAGGGTATTTTTTTTAATTAAATTGAGTCAAACAAATATATATTTTGGTGTTCCTAGATATTGAAAAATGCATATAGTTCCTATTGTGTATTCTTCCGCGCGGTGACAAGGTTTCGCGTGTGTTATAGAGATTAGATTTCTAATGGATTTTATAAAGAAACTTACACTGAGTGTAAATATAAGGAATATATTACAGAGGGGAAATCAACTCTATCAATTCAATCTCTAATAGAAATCAAAATAATCATTAACCAGAGTGAAAATCGACAAAACTCCTTACATACCAAAAGGCAGCTAGGATCTCGCAAACTTCTTCCCCTTTAGCATTATCAGTAATGTTTTCTTAAATAAATTTATTTATTTATTTATTCATTCATTCATTTATCCAAAAGCTAGTAAAAACCAATGTGCATTTATGATAAAATAAACGTATACTTTCAGTAACATTAATTGAATGCCTCGTTTGAAATTGCTTGTTACTCCTTAGAATATGTTTGCTCAGCTTGATAAAAATGTAAACATCAAATTGCTCGACAACAAATGAGACTGTTTTGTCGTTGAAATTGTCATCTGCATATTTCATTTCTTGGGGTATTTGTATTGGCATTTAGAATACTTACGATTTGTTGGTTTGAGAGTAGGCGTTAACATAGCGTTTTTAAACTGATGTTTTTATCCATGCTTAGTATATATATTGAAAGAAGACCAGTTAGAAGAGAGTAGTCAAATCGTACAAGCACAGAGCGAAAAAATTCCAATGAGGGGATATCCAATAAGAAAAAATATGAAAGAAAACCGCAAAGGTATGTTTAATACGATCTAGGATTTGATATCTATTGATATCAATTTGAACAAAAAATATACAACTTAGAAAATGACAGCAAATTACATGAATTTATTTAATTCTTTTCAACTAAACATGGAATGCAGACTATTGCGTACTGAAAACTTTAGTTTATAAATACATGAAGAATTTTTTTTTAAAGATGTACTTTTTTTTTATTTATGCGGAACACATTAAAACAAACAAACAATCTAAAAATTAATCAATGACAAAAAAGACATTGATCAAAGCAATACCTTATGACGAATCAGTTAAGTAAATTTATTGTAGTCTTATTTTTTTTTTTTTAATAACGTTGTCTTAATGATAAAGAATTTATTTTTTCTTATTCTCATTAGGAGTATTGAGGAACAACAACTTTGACAAAGCAAACAAACAAATTGCAAGAACTCTTCAACAGACAGGCTGCCTGTAAGTATTGCTAATCAAATGTTCGGGTCCAAAATTCTATAGTTACCTTTTAACGTTTTGATAATCTTTCAAGAAATATTATTGCTTCATGTTACCTTATATTAAGGCATTCATCATTTAGCAGTATTTTTGTATTTCAATGCAATACTTATCTTCAATTAAATGATAGTTGAGTGATAGTGAAGAAATAAGTGAAATAAGAATGAATTAAAGATCTCAAATACTGCACCTAATTTTTAACCCCTTTCATCATGTATTAGAAGTACAAAAAATATACACTTTTTAATATACACTGGGCTAGTCCAAATACTTTATGGACTTGATATTTTATTCAAACTGAAAGCATGTTTAATGATAAACATTGCTTGGTTCATTGAACTTTATGGTAATGATAAAATACTCGTATTTATCTAAATTATCGAAGGAAAGCAAAGATTCAAGCTTCCAAAAAAAACCCGGTAAATTATGTGCACTTCTTGTTAAACATTTTACCATATAAGGAGGCTGTAAGAATGTTACTTTTTAGTACATTCTTGTTGACTCTCAAGTTAAAAACATGAATTATTTCTCAGTGAGGTGAACCAGGATGCTCTCTGTCTACTTACCCAGTGGATTGATTATGTAAGGGAACTAAAAAGTGAAAATGCAAGAATGGAAAGATTGGAGAAAAGACGTTCCCAGATAGAAAACATCTATCAAAAAATGAACAAACGGATAGAGGCAAGTTTTAAATTTAATTAGGTATTGTTCAATTTATATTTTAAGAAATAGTTTAACAACAGTTAAGGTGCCAAATAAAAATATCGGCGAATTTTTTAGACAGAAAATACATTCTTTAGAAGAATGGGCGATTCTTTTTAGGCCTTTACTATTATCGGACAAATGTAATGTGGCTTAAAACTTCATGTTGAGGACGTTTATATTTCTTATTTAGATTTGTTACGTAATGTGGCAGTCACTTGATTTTAGCAAATATACCTGCAATATTGAAGTCATCTATAAATTCCAATATCGCAAGGGCATAACCAAGTTAAAATCTTAGTTTAATTTATAATTATTTTCAACACTCTTTGTAGTTTGTGAAAAGTGCTGCAAACCTATATAGATTCTACTATATAATTGCTAAAAATTACATTTGTTAGACCGTATGTTGAATATTTTGCTGGTCAAGTACATAAAATGTAGATATAATTAATTCATTTTCAAGATTTCATCAGGTTCGCAGGACTTTACAAATATCTTCATACCTCTTGAGTTTATATGTAAAAGCTTGTCGTAATTCATTGAGGGTATGCTCTTGCAATATATCGATTTATTACGATCCTTCTATTACCCTTCAATGAATCTGCATACAGATGTACGACAGTTTCACTTGTCTAGGGAATGTACGGGAAGTATACGAATAAAATCATAAAATAGACATCGCATCCAAGTTAATGACCTCTTATATATCTGCAAATAATATTTTATTTAATTATAAAACACATTTTTCATTGTATAAAATATAATTTGATCCGCCTCTCACTGCATACAAACTGCGTCAGAATTTACGATATGACGTCACATTGACAAGTGCATTGCGATCAATGAATTGTTTATATATTGCTGCGTGGGATTTAACCAACGACAAAAATACATGCAATAGTAAGTATTGATGTAGTTTAAAGCTATCCTACAGTTTAAAATAGCGTCTCATTTCATTTTCTGGTAATTTGAAGAACATGTATTTTTGTGTGATGTCATAGTAAGCATTTCCCGTAAAAATTAGGCCCCGCCTCCTTATCGCAGCCTTAACTGTGTTGTGTTCTGGTTATCATGCTTTACTAATAGTAAAAAAAGACGGAAGGGTAGCAGTAGATATTGCTATTAATCAAGTTTTATTTTTTGTTTTTTTGTTGTTTTTTTTTAAATTTTAGGACATTTATTCACTGTAAATGTGATTCCTCCAGGAGATAATTAATTCGTTCTTTCTATCATTTCCGTAATTATTTTCTTTTGTATCGAACCAATCCGCAATGCACTCGCTTTATTTATCTAGATAGATATATAAAAGTAATCATGTCTTTCAGCTGAGCATTTTTGCTCATAGCCATTTGTAATTTCATGTTCTGATAAAAAAAATTTGAAAAGGTTTTTAATAACACTTTCAATTCACAAAATTAAATATGTGTTATGCAACAATTTTAAGCATGACAAAAAATTTTCCTTTCATTCTTTTTTTTTTCTTTCAAAATGAAAAATAAAATCTACTAAAATATATGCAATGTAAAGAACATGTGACAAACATGTTTATTCATTTATTTATATTGCTAAGTACATTTATCACATCAGATATTCTCTTTTCAGGTGCTAGAAAAGCAATGGAATTTTTTGTGGAAAGACGATCAATGCATGAAAGAAAGTCTTTAGAAAGTTTTTGCATTTCAATTCGAAAAAAAACCATTCCATTTTGATTGATATTTCAACTAAGACCTAGATGACTTCATGCAGTGAAAGTGTATTTGTTAGAAATACTAAATCAAAATGTAAATCACTCTTAATATAAAATAATAATTTCACGTTTATAATCTTAACTTAATCAATTCTTTTTTTTTATAGTGAGTTACTAAAATTAAAAGGGAGCACACAAGTTAAACATTACACATATATTTCGCGACCTTCTTGTTGAATTTACAAACTCAGAGTATAAATATGATTTGATGTTAAACTGAAAAATTTAAATGATTTGTATTTACCAGGAGTAAGACCTTGTGCATGGTGTCCATCATATAAAAATGATGAATATTTATGATTTCGCTAATAGTATTAAACATGGATAAATAAAAGGAAAAGATAACAGTACTATTTCATAAGTCAATTTATTTTATAAGTCAATAAGTCAAGTATCATCTTAGCTAGCGAAGAAATTTGTGTCTTTTCAATTTCCAGATGGTAATGAAATGTTTACAAAACCCTTGGCTAGCGACGATGATCACGAACAAATAAATTGACGCAAAGAAAAGGGAACAATGAAAATTGCAGTTGCGTTCATTCCTTGTCTTTATACATTAAAATCTAATTCATTTTTATCAATTAAACTATTTAATAAAGAATTTCTATTCATTGTTTTACAAAATCCATTTACTAAAATAGAATTATATATTCATATTTTTTAAATTATTTATTCAAGTTTAATTTTCAAATTTATTTACTTAAATAAACTAAGATTAATTAATATATTTTATACCATTAGCGTTATTTTAAAGTCAAATTATTAGATAATATTTATTCAATATTATTTTATCTGGAAATATGTTTAAAGAAATTATGTGCTCAACTTTTTAATATAGTAAATTCGTTTTATCATGTAACAAACATGCTTTAAAATAAATCTAAACTAATGAATATGGTTTTATTAATAAAATATAAAGTTAAAATTATAGTTTAAATGTACCACAATTTATTTAATTGAATATTATGAATCTATTGATTTATTTACTATCATTTACTTGTACGTTTTAAATAATCATAAATAATACGTACACCTAACTCAAGTGGTTAAGTTTAACGTTTAGTTTAAAAACTTAAGATTTTATTCTGCATTCTGTATTCTGTGAAGATTGAGATAGATTATCACACCGTCGATGTAGTACTGCCACGCAAAAGAAACACAACAAGCAGCAATCTACACATTTTGAATATTTTTCTAATGATTTTTAAAAATAAATACAGTGGGGTAAACCCCGATTTACAATCACCAAACATTTGATAGAAATGTTAAATGATTATCTTTTAACATTGGAAAGAAAAACATAACAGTTAAAACACCCCCTCCCCACCCATTCAATTACAAGGTGCAAGACTGTCTGATAAAACAATTGCAGCTTGATTTCTACGATGCATTAGGTTCAATGCATCTGAGCGAAAGAAATAATCTTTGGCATTTTTAGGTGCCTGTTTTTCAGATGATGAGATCGAATTTTCTCGAACATAGCGCTGTAAACCTTCTTAATACGTAAAAATTACTCAACCTGCTAACTCTTCTGAAGAAAGAAGGACTATTATGATTAAAAATTAGAAAAACTGTACTTTTTGCGAAAGAGAGAGAGAGAGAGAGAGAGAGAGAGAGACTATTGAACGTATTTTTATTGTTTGTAAATTGTTTATCTTTGTGGACAAACCTACTTCAATTAACATATTCACAAAAATAAAATAACTAAAGATGTTGATTTTATATTGAAAATATTATTTTGAGTGAATTTTAAAATAACAACAAAGTTACAAATTTTATATAGTATACAAACCAGACTATTTTCACTTCTTTAATGCAACATAAAATTCCAAATCTTTTGGGACTATTAAGTCATATTTAGTTGAAAATTAACTTTTTTGCTTGGATTCATACTTTAGAGACTTCTTCAACACAAATTTCATTGATTCCATCTGGAGAAAACTCCACTTCCCTTATCTTTAAAGATTTTAAAACCTTTTCCTCTGTGCTAAAACAATTGTAAATATATTTTGAACATATCTCATGCTACTATATACTTTCAACATAAACAGGCAAAACGGTTCATATGCTTTCGTCTCACATAATTCTATCAAATAGCATTTGCTTCATATATCTTGAATTTGCACAAACAAATTCATATTGCGCTATACATTCTGTAAAAATATTAAATACATGTATTTGTTGAAAAATCTTTTGAGTAAAAAAAAGAACCATTTTCGCAGTCCCAGGTGACAATATCGTTTATACATATTAAATGTGTTTTTAATCCAGTCAGAACTTTCGATAACAGTCTAATACACATAGTATCCTTTTCTGCAAATCATATCAGTTAATATTAGCAGATCACAATTTCTCACAAATTATATTTTGCTTAAGAACACAGCGGTGTCAGAGTTCGTATTATGTGGGAGAGTGGCATGGTGTGCTGCATTGCAGATAGAAGTAGGGGAGATAATGCCAATAAAACAATGTAAACAGACTTGCCAGTAGACCGTTTTTACTCACAGGAGGCCTTTATATATGTTTATATGTCTTACAACAAATCAAATTGCAGGTTTTCAAGCATTTGTCGTTTTGAATGTAAACATTGGCAGATGCCAGTAGCGAAAAGACTAGACACATTAATTAGTAAATGGTTGAGTATAGATTGCTTTATAATATTGTTGTCTACTTTAAAAAAGTTGTAACTTTTGAAATATAATGTGTTGTTACATTATACATTCTATATATAAGTGTATATATTTGTTGGAAGCAAGAATAAAAATAAAAAATGTTGTAAAATTCCTGATTATTTAATAAAACTGTTAATGAATTTTGAATTCTGTCTACTTGTGACTATAAAAACCTAGTCAGATATTGGTTAACCTTGTTATTCGGCCTCGATCAACCAATATCTGACCACGTCCGTATTGTCACGAGTAAAACTTATCAAATTTCAATAATTGTATAGTGTACCATTGCTAAATTTACTTATATGGATTTGCAACCAATTTTGAGCTGCCCTCCTTTGTATAAGACACATTTGGGAGGAACAACAGACCAGATGATACTTATATATTGTTCTACCTCCACTGGTCCGCCGTCAGCCATCGATATGATAGTCTTGCCATGACGTTATCAATGTCTCTAACCCCTCCCTCCCTCTTTCATGGCGATGAAACCAAGTTTTGGACTTAAGCGCCTGCAGCTGATAACTAAGAAAGATACATTTTAGTTCCTGTCCTAAGACTTTGTTGTTTAGCTCTTTTGAGACCAGATCTATTGTTTCTAAGTACATTATTAGGACATTCGGAGGTGGTGATATAAAGAGATGATGATGCAGGAGTTATGATCATACCAATGCATTCTTCTATGGGTCGCCTGCGTGGCGCAGTATTGGGGCGTTCGCTCTAGAGTCGCGAATATAATTATGTCTCATGTTTGAATCCCACTGCGGAACGTGGAGCCCTGGGTCCTTTGGATGAGACTGTGTAAATCAGGTCTCGATTTGTATTACACAGGTATGTTAACGCAGTATCCAGATCATATTTCGGCGAATTTAGACTTTTTTTCGTAAAATGTAACATTGATAAATCGGAAAAACCATAGATAAAACATTTACTATTATTATCCATTGTATAGACGTCATTGAGTCTTCGGCTAAAAGAAGCACTCCACTACGACGTCATCACGTGATGTCTATAAATAGAAAAACTGCCTTAATGAAAAAGTGAAAAGTTCAACACTACCCCGGAGATAATTTATTTCTTTTAGTGAAAATAATTATGTAAAAACATCACTGGTCCATGAAAAGTGCTGCTAGAATCCTACTCTCCTGACACAGAAAAAAATATTCCAAAGTTTCGCATGAAACCTTACCAAATTTTTTACATTTTATACATACGATCAAAGAACTTTTATCAATTCATGTTAACCACACGATTCTAGCAGCACATTCCAAGTACTATAGAATACAAGCTTTCGATACAAACAAAATTTATATTTCAAAGTATGCGGTGTAGTGTTGAACTTTTACATCTTTGTTGTTATAGAACGACAGAGGAACGGCTGATCGGGATTTCAAAGCACTGACTGTGTTCATTATAAGAAAATATGATAAGAATATACATGTATCAGCGTACCTGATTCTTATTCTTTAATTCCTTATGAATCACACATAACATTCACGGTATATGCCTTTAAACTCCCATTTCATATATTTGTTTACATGAATTCTCGTCACCTTTAATTTCACTCGGCAAATATTTGATCAATAGTTATGACGTCATGGGTTTGGTATTTAACCCCCGTGCTAAATAATTAGCCATTTATATTACCCAAAAAAGACAAGATTTAGTTTATATTATGTTTTGAAATATAACATTCTTTTCTTGGACCTGAAATTAAACTTTAAAGATAGATATTAAGGAAACATTATTTCTCAAGTTCACGTCATACAGCTTACTATGACGTCATATTGTAAAGGCAAGTAGGATATCTCTGAGTGTAGCCTTAACATACCCGCGTAAGTGCAGGCACGAAAAAGATCACTCACTTCTCAAAGGAAGTCCTGGAATCTGAAGGCATGGATATTTTAGTTAGATATTTGATTTATAGCAGTTATTTCCCCAATCCGTAATTTGGCGACGAGCATCAACTTTTTTGCGTTTTGTGCGTTTTAGGTCTTGGACTGATTTGGTTATCAGGAATTGTTTACTTGGATCTGCCTCTAAATTTTGAGGTCCGTGTTTGCTCTTCTCCAAAGGACAAGTTAGGCTAAGACCCCTTTTTGGCCCCTGGTTTGGGGTGTCTTTTAGAATGATGCAACAGTTTATCAATAGAAACCTGTTGTCACCCCTGCTACAAACTGAGTATTGGGTCTAAGTTACTTTATACACAGAGGTCACAGGAAGGTCAGAAAATATGTCAATATCCGAATTTTCTCATTTTTATGCAAATTTTCATCAATTTTACAGCACATTTGATTTCAGAGAATATAGAGCACAAGCTTGCCTATCTACAAAATTTATATATTTCATACACTAATATCATATGCATCTTATGTATCAAAATCTCAGATAGGTATGTTTGTGCTCTATGTTTCCCGAAGTGAAAAGTATTTCAAATTTGACGAAATTCCACCAGAATTGAGGAAATTCGGGAAAATGTCCTACTTCTGCACCCTCTTGTGGCCTCAATGTAAGCTTTGAATCAAAATTAGTGCTGGTTTTAAAACAAGCATCATAATAAGATCTTAGCTACAAATTGTCACAATTTTAAATGTGTTCTGATTTTTACCTAAAATAAGGGGCCAGATTCAGCCGTTACCATACCTTGTCCTTTGTATCGTTTTGGACTTTCGAGATTGAAAACTGTTCGTTATCTTGAAATATATGGAGATAATGAACAGTATTCAAGCTCAAAAGTCCATAAAACAATACAAAATAGGAGCAGAGCAAACACGGACCTCCAAACATCAGAGGTGGGATCAGGTGCCATGGAGGAGTGAGCATCCCCTGCCGACCGGTCACACCCGCCGTGTGCTCCTTGTCATGATCGGGAAATAACGGAAAAATCCGTCGACAATTCAGTGTGTAAATAATGGCTTAACAATTAGTATGAAAAACGTCAGTCAGCATTTGACTCAATGATAAATTGTATTTGCTGACAAGGTCATGGTATCGACCATAGAACTTTAGAAATGATGACTTTAAACGAGACAGCTGATATTCTTGTCTCATCAACTTATTTGTCA